TTTTATAACTAATCCATAAATGGTAGGTTTACTTTTGGGAGCTGCTATTGGCATGCAAAAGAAAACGGCCCAATTATATATAAGCATGGTCACGCACATTTTTCTTCGTTACGAAACAAGTGAGTACATAGCATTCAGCATGATCAATCATGCCCATTTTAGTTATTATGCTTTTTTTATTTATTTATAAAACAGCAAAAACAAAAGCAAAAACTTCTTTAAGAAAAGAAAAAATTCACAGAAATACCAAATGAGCCCTAAACACGTCGAAACAACCATCACGTTTTCTTGTAGGTCACGTCATATATCTTGTGTCTAGAGTGAGGAGCTCATAAATAGAACAACCTTTAATTGTTGCACCACTCAACCTGATTAATGTGTGAAGAATAAAAAGCCATCGAAGCTTGTCTGTCTCGTATCTGCATAAGTTTTTTGTTCGAGAATTAGGAGATTAGTTGCTTCACATGATACAGGTTGAAAATTACAGGGAAAAGCTCACTAATAGCACCACTGTAGCAATGTGCTCTAATAACACTATTACTATAGTATATCGACAAGATCGACACAATATTAATACTTTATTTATGTCATATCAAGCCTATCTTGGACTATTTGCTATCGTTATGGGACAATGTGTGGCAATATTGACAACATGTTGAAATGACATCGAGATAATGAGACTATTTGCTAAAATACTAATGCTGTTTGAGAGCATTTCCCATTTATAAGATGGAATCAAGATATCAACCATTCTATTTTCCCATTAATCCAGCAATAATTTTGTCATTTACTAGCATCCTTCAAAGAAGGTAGAAAATAAGGATGAGACTCACCAATTTAGCGTCTTTGCTCCAATATTTTATCAACCACCGAGAACGTGGGAACTATATCCACAGGTACCTACACAAAGTTAGAAGATAATAGTAACTATGTGATATAAATTGTTGTGATAAATAGTTCAGAAATTAAAAGGCAGTTTACAGTCCAAAGAATTCTGGCTCATAGAACTGAATTTGGAAGTTTAAATTGCATTGGGTTTCCATAACATAAAAGAAGAAAAGGGAGATTATAAACTTTAGTTGCCCTGACTGAGCCTTCATTAGGGTTCGGGACTTGAGGAAACGTCAGAAGGATGGACGAGGACAAATTATGTCTATGTAAATTAATATGAAATGTCCATTGGTTTATTAAGAGATTTATATAACTTAGACGCAACACAAAAAATATTTTCCACCAATTATTCGCTATAAGGGTCAAAAAATGCATCATTCTTTTGCCTATTAAACAAATGCTTATCACATATTCATGTCAATCTGATAAACTAAAAAGACATTAGGCATGAAGTGAGGCATTTCATTTCACGAGTCTGAAAAAAGTGAGAAAGACAGCTGCTAAAATATACTCAAGACAATGCTCAAAATCCAAAGCCTTGAAAGCATATTCAAACATCGCCCACAAGGGCACAGTAGAAACAACCCAAAACCAAAACCTTGGCTACTAGTGGAGAGCCCCAACATCTTAAAACCATAGTCATGATTTATTCATTCATGCATGGAGTCATCTTCTTTCCTCAATTGAGTGATGACATAATCAACTGAAATCAGCCATCTTTTTGCAAATCTTATTTGTAGTGCAAGATGTCATCATCTATTAGATACTTAATATGACTGCATCCTTAATGCTTGTTATGAAAATTGCATACTAGTGCATTAATTATTTATGTTTAGAGCTTAATTATTGAAATATTTGTTATACCTGAATTTTCTTTAATCTTTGCAGAGCAACTTTTAATGGGTCCGTCAGTTTGCCGTGTTTCTGTAGCAGCAAATTTGCAGCCTCTTTGTCACCTTTTGCTTGTATGGTGAGTATCTCCCTACTCAAGCTCTCAACTGCACCTTCAACCTTTTACAAAAATGAAGGAATACTTATACATAGCCTTGATGTGTCATCTCACGAGGCAAAACAAGAAAATTGAGGCAGTAATACCTTGGTAAAGTCAACAGAAAATGTTTCCTCAGGGTTCAAGATAAAGGCTCCTTCCTCATACAACCAGTTAAACTGCAATGCTTGTCCTTTTCTGAAAACATATAGCAAGTATAAGATACTTGGTGGCCAAACATGCTAGTATAGTATAATGGATTGCTAGCTTACCCGTGAGCTTCCTCAAGACCAAACCGCACTGAGCGGAAGCATCCAGCAAGAAATGAAACATACATGGACTTCAATAAACTCTTTGGAAGCAAATCCTGGACTCCCTCAGAAAAATAAAACCAGTTAACAAGCATAAGCAGAAGAACAACGCCACTAGTATATGAATTCCATTGGTAATAACATAACCGCTTAGGATATTTATTAATAAAAATGAAAATACAAGGTATTCAAAGACTCGGGGAACAAGAGGTCCACTGTCATCTCTTGATAATAACATAATTGACCAAAGAAAGAAAGATGCAAATGCGTTAGAAAATGTGCAAAACAAACCATCCCACTAAAGTGATAAAGTGATGAAAAGCACTGTCAAGAAAATAAATGGCCACGCACCTTGTGGATTAGGAATTTCAACGCCCAAAGGCCAACTATATCAGCTTTTGCTTCTTCCAGAGCGGAGTGGAGTTCTTGTAGTTCCTTTATCAGAAGATGAAAGAGACACAAGGCAAACCAGAGTTGGCATTAAGAAAATAGTGCAGACTTGAGGTAGTTAACCTTCAAAAAATGACTTCTATAATTGCTTTTTCTTAACATGTTGTAAATGACATTAGAAGCATACTAAGAACAAGAATTTGACTATAATCATCAATAAATTGGACATAAATTGTTGGAATACCTTTTCTTAATAAAATACAGACCATCTAATAAATGCTTCATAGCTAACAAACCCTCCATCAGTTGGAGAAATTTAGACATCTAAAACTGCAAATAACAGAACATGCAACTAAGGTTCCT